TAGGCGTGCAAAAGGCAGCTGAGTCAGCGATTCTCTCTCATTATTGTTGTTTCTATCTCTCTCTCTTCCCCCCCTCCCTTCCTCTTTGAAACCAATAAAAAAAATTTTTTTTTTTAAAAAGGTAAAAGGGGAAATGCATTCCTTTAAAAAATATTAAAAAATAAATAAAATCAATCTACACTAATAAAAGAGAAAGATGCAAATTGACTTTACCTTTCACAATGACCACCAGCCAATCAGGAGTGAGCATGCAAATTAACCCAACAAATATGATGGGTTAATTTGCATACACAGGCAGCGAGCGGCAGGGGTGGGACACCTGCGCTATCACCATGGTGATGACACAGGTGTTCCGGCACCACCCCAGCCGCTCCAGGCCTCTGAGCAGCGTGGGAAGGAGGAAAGGTAGCTCTGGCCAGAGTGAAGATGATGCTGGCAGCCAGGGGATGGAAGGCCCATTCTTGCACGAATCTTCGTGCATCAGGCCTCTAGTAAAAGTATATTAAAAAAAAAAAAAGCTGGAGTGGCTATATTCAGACTTGACAAAGCAGACATCAAAAGAAGGACTATTACCAGAGATAAAGAGGGGCATATCAAGATAATAAAAGGGTCAATTTCTCAAGAAAACTGAACAATTCTCAAAGTGTATGCACCCAATGCAAAATAGATGCTGCAAAATCATACATATCTGAAAGAAAATGCATCCACCATTACAATTGGAGACTGATATTTCCTCTCAGTCTGCCAGAGAGAACTGGTAGACAGAAAATCAGCAAGGATACTGAAGACTTGAACAATGCTATCCACCACCTTGACCTAATTGATACTCCACCCAACTGCAAAATATATACTCTTAAAATCTACATAGAATAGCCCTAGCAGGTTTGGCTCAGCGGATAGAGCACTGGCCTGCAGACTGAAGGGTCCTAGGTTCAATTCCCGTCAAGGGCATGTACCTTGGTTGCAGGCTCCTCCTCTGGCCCTGATCAGGGTGCATGCAGGAGACAACCAATCGATGTGTTTCTCTCACGTTGATGTTTTTCTCTGTCCTTTCCTCTCTTCCACTCTCTAAGAAGATCAATGGAAAAACATCCTCACGTGAGGATTACTACAACAACAACAACAACAACAACAAAAAATATATGGAACATTCACCACGCTAAGTCTCAATGATTTTAAAAGGAATAAAACCATACAGAGTAAATTCTCTGACCACAATGGAATTAAAAACACATAACAAAAAGTTATCTGCAAAATCCCCAAATATTTGGGAACTCAATGTACTTCTACGGAAGACATTAGTTAAAGAAGTAATTGCACGGAAAGAGAACATTATGAACTGAATGATAATTAAAATAGAACATATCCAAATAAGTAGAATTCAACTAAAGCTGTTCTCAAAGGGAATTTGTAGCTTTAAATGTTTATGTTAGAAAAAAAGGTTTAAAACCAATTATTTCAAGGTTACATTTTAAGAAGTTGGAAAAGGGTGAGCAAATGAAAACCAAAAGAAGTTTAAAAAAAAAAAAAATATATATATATATATATATATATATATATATATATATATATATATATTTTATTGATTTTTTACAGAGAGAAAGGAAGAGAGATGGAGAGCTAGAAACGTCGATGAGAGAGAAACATCGACCAGCTGACTCTTGCACACCCCCTACCGGGGATGTGCCCGCAACCAAGGTACATGCCCTTGACCATAATCGAACCTGGGACCTTTCAGTCCGCAGACCGACGATCTACCACTGAGCCAAACCGGCTTCGGCCCAAAAGAAGTTTTATTACTCCAAAGTAAGCAAAAGAAAGGAAAGGTTAAGGAGTGGACATCAACAAAATAGAAAATGGGTAAACAATGACGAAAAATCAAATAAACCAAAATTCGGTACTTTGAAAATGTTTGATAAAATCGAGATAAGCTATCTAGGACAGTGATTTTCAACCAGTGTGCTGCCAAGAATTTTCAAAACATGCAGTACCTGATTATTTAGTCATGGGCACTGACCTCTTTTCCCTTAGGTTGTCAAGTAAAAAAATGACAACAGCCAACACAATAGCCATCTAGTGTGGATGAATCAAAATTATACCTATTTTTGTCAGTTCGGCAAGAAATATTTTTGGTGTGCAGCGGAATTTCAGTAATTAGTTTATGTGTGCCATGAGATGAAAAATATTGAAAACTGCTGATAGAACGTTTTGGAGGGAATTATTAACTTTATAATTTAGATGAAATAGGCAAATTCCTTGAAAGACCCAAATTACTAAAACTGACACATGAAGCAGAAAATCTGAATGGGCTGATAGATAATTAGAGAAATTGAATTTGTAATTAAATACCTCCCACAAAGAAGTCCAGAAGCCTTCACTGGTGAATTCATCAAGCATTGAAAGAAATGAACACCAAGCGTACACAAGCCCTTTAAGAAAATAAGAGAAAGGAACACTTTTGAATTTCTTTTATGAAGCCTTTGAACCAAAACCTGATGAAGATATTACCAGGAAACTACAGATCAATATCCTTCATGAACATAAATGCAAAAATTCTCAGGAGATATTAGCAAATGCATTTCAGCAAGTGCTCTTTTTAAATAGGGAATGCAAAGTTGGTTTAATATTTGGAAAATCAATAGATGTGTTACACATTGACAAAATACGTGTTTGACAATCTTATAGCTAGCATCATACTTAACGTGGAAAGATAATACTTTGCACCTATAATTGAGAACAAGGCAAGGATGTCTACTTTCACCACCTGTATTTAACATTTTTTAAAATACATTTTATTGATTTTTTAGAGAGGAAGAGAGAGGGATAGAGAGTTAGAAACATCGATGAGATTCATCGACCAGCTGCCTCCTACACACCCCACTGGGGATGTGCCCGCAACCAAGGTACATGCCCTTGAATGGAATCGAACCTGGGACTCTTCAGTCCCCAGGCCAACGCTCTATCCATTGAGCCAAACCGGTTTCGGCTGTATTTAACATTTAAAAAAAATGTATTTTATTGATTTTTTAGAGGAAGGGAGAGAGATAGTTAAACATTGATCAGCTGCCTCCTGCACACCCCCCACTGGGGATGTGCCTGCAACCAAGGTACATGCCCTTGACGGGAATCAAACCTAGGACCCTTCAGTCTGCAGGCCGACGCTCTATCCACTGAGCCAAAGCAGTCAGGACTTGTATTTAACATTTGATTAGAGTCTCTAGCTAGTGCAATAAGGCAAGAAAAAGAACTAAAAGGCAGATTGGAAAAGGAAGAGTTAAAACTGCCTTTATTTGCAGATGAAGTGATTGTGTACTGTCCAAAGGCATTTTATCAAAAAACTGCTAACACTAAATAAGTAAATTTAAGAAAGGTCACAGAATACAGAACCAACAGATAAAACTCAATTGTATTCCTATATATTATCAGTGACCAATTAGAAAATGCTATCAAGGTATCATTTACAATACTATCAAAATCCATAAAATAGCTCTAGCTGGTTTGGCTCAGTGGATAGAGCATTGGCCTATGGACTGAAGGGTTCCAGGTTTGATTCGTCAAGGGCACATGCCCGGGTTGTGGGCTGGATCTCCAGTAGGGGGGGCGTGCAGGAGGCAGCCGATCAATGACTCTCTCTCATCATTGATGTTTCTATCTCTTCCTCTCTGAAATCAATAAAAACGTAATTTTTTAAAACCCCATAAAATACATAGGGAAGATTTAACAACCCGTGAGAGTACTGATGGGTAGTGGTGTTGTGGACCTGCCATCAGTATGGTGACTTACTGGGAATAGAAATAAGAGCCTCCAGAGGATTGGGGGGCAGGGGAGTGGTATCTGGTGTTTTGTGTCGGGCAGTCTGGAAGCCTGAGTTGAAAAGCATTGGGAAAGCTTGAAGCTTCCGGTGCAACAAATTCCACAAGTACACCAGAGATTGAAACATAACATTTTATTGCTCTAGTACAACTTGGACTTCACCAATGCCTAGCTTTGTGGGGCATTGTAGTGTGTCATGACTGTGGACACAAAATCACCGTAAGCATGTGCTACAGCCCTGGGACACTCCTTCTCACGAGACTTCACTTGCTTCTCAAACTGCAAGTCCCGTTTTTTGTTTTCCTCTTTCTCTGTTGTGATCCCAGCTTCTCACCTTGGGGCTTCTCACTGTCTAGGTAACACAGGACTTGGGCCTAAGCGAGCCTTGACGAGTGGCCCCTTTGTGACACCAGCGCCTGGCCTGGTGCTGAGCCTGCAGCCCCCGGAGGCTGACCTGGTTTGGGAGCCCGTCTCGAGCATCCAGGGGTGGCCTGGCTGGCAGGCAGTCACGTGAGGCTGGCTCCCAGCTCCTCAGAGAAGCCTACGGACACTAGCTTGATGTGGGGCGCTGCTGGACTCTCTGGGTATCTCAGAACCCCCACTTCTAGCTAGTGGACTGAACCGTAGGGGTAACCGCACCTCACTTTTCCACATTATAAGCAGGTGGGAGGTCCCCGGGCCTCCCCTGCACTATTGCACAGAGTGGTTTTCCTGCAGGGCTTTGGCAAAGGGCAGAGGGAAGGGCTGCGGGCTGCTGCTGTTGGCCTGGGCTGGCACGAGGCTTACCAGCCCCCAGGGGAGCCGGCTCCCCGCTGCATCCCATTGTGCTAGTGGTACCACCCACTCTTCTCTGGCCGGGCAGCCAGCAGCCTTCAGCCGTGTGTTCCTCCCCCACACCACTCCTCCCAGGACAGTCAGTGGCTTTCCTCTCCCCTAAGTGCTGGGCTGCAGGCAGGCCTTTGAGATGTCCTGCCCTCCGGACGGCTTCCGCCAGCCGGCCCAGGTGGCTCTGAGTCTGGCCTGTGCCCACGCCCTTACAGCACAGGGGCCACCATCTGCTCTGCCCTGCGAGGCTAGGGCCCCATCCCCACTGCCCGCAGGCTCCTGAGGGTTTGTGTGTGCTCTGAGAACTTCCAACCATGAGAACTTTGACTTCCGGGTTCGGAGGATCCACCTGGGTGGAGAGATCAGCTCTGAAAGTCGTCACTCTCTTCCGGGCCCCGCCTGTTTCGGTGGTCCAGGCCCAAGCCTGCGGAGGGAGGAGATGCCAGTTAGCCACTGGGGGAACCTCCTAGGCTGCTAGGGGGCTGGGCCATGGTTCCCCTCAGCTCCCAGGATGCTCTCTGGAATGAGAGGGGTTTCTATTCCTTGTTCAGATGGCACCTGCATGGAAAATTCTTGCTGGAAGCCAACGGGGGCACTGGCACCCCGGGGCTAAGGGAAGGTGCTGTTTAGGAGAAAATGAGGGAGGCACAGAGTCAGGCTGGGCTCCCAGCCATGGTGAGATGGGTAGGGGCCTGCCCGCCCTGAGGGAGCGAGGGCCTCATCGGTACCATCAGAAAGGACACTGCTGTCTGGGGCTGGCACGAGGCCCAGCGTCCAGCCGCAGAGCGCACGCGGGGTACCTGGGAGGGAGCTGGACGACAGCAGCTGCAGGCTGTCTAGGACCCCGACCTCATACAAGGCCAGCTTCTGCACCATCTTCTGTCGGGCCGGGTTGATGACAATCTGTGGTGGCTGCGATGAGGCAGAACTGCCCAGGAGTGATCCTGGGGAAGAGAGAGCAATGTCTTAGCTTCAGGAACTGTTGACCCTAGGCACTTCTCGCGAGACACTTCAGTCTCCCGAGATTTCCCAGCTGCCAGCCTAGCTTCCGGGCCCTTCGGGGCAGAAGTCCTCATGCCCCGAGGGCAGCATCTAGGAGGGGCTCCCGCCACCCAGCAAGTACAAGAGGCTGGTGGCCATGAACAGAGCTTTCCTTGTCCCCAGTTTTCAGGAAGTGAGCTCTGGCCTCCTCTCACCCATCTGGGGGGCACAGCCTGGGGAGATGACAGCACCGGGCTGTCCTCTGGGCCCCTTTCCGAGGCTGGGCAGGCCACCCGCTCCAGGATGGAGGCCGGGAACTGGCCAGGGAGTGAGTGAGCTTACAGCAGGCCACAGTGGCCTCATCCCAGAGGCTGGGGGTGCAAGGTATGGGGAGCGCTGCCCAAGGAGGCCCCTGGTTCCTATTCTGGGCACGTGTCCCCCAGCTACCTTCCACAGCCGTGGCCCGAGGCTCTGGGCTGCTCCCCCATGACTCTCGGGTGGCACTCGCTTGAGTACAGCTGGCCTGCCCGAGGGGTGCAGGGGCCCACGTGGCAGCCCCCTGCACAGGGCTGTCTGGCAGGGCCGGGCCTGGAGTGCAGCCTGCGCTCAGGTGCCAGGAACGCAGGGCGGCAGACACGCCAGACACGCTCTCATCGCTCTCCACGGGCTGGTTGGGGCCTTTCTGGAGTTGCTCTGTCGCCGGGGCCGGGGTTCCGGAGGGCACTGCCAGGGGCTGCCAGGGACTGGCATCGCTGGCGGTGGACACGTAGGAGTTTTCCTGTGGGGAATGGGGGTTGCGGCCGGCAGCCTCTGCCTCTGGGGACGGCCCTGCCACTGTGACCTGAAGCTTCTCCAACCTCTCGTACACCTGTGAGGAGAAAGAGGGGCTCAGGGCGAGTGGTGGGCGGGCTCTCCCTTGCTCTGGGGCAGGCCAGCTAGGCCATGATCAATCACAGCCCTCACAGGAGACACCTGTGACCCGCCTTGGGTCTTCAGCTGCCACCCCAGGCCCCACACAGCCACTCTGGAGGCTGCGGGGCTTCCTAGATGGTATATCCTACAGCTGGGAAAGCTGTCCCTGGCCCCCCTGGCCCTGCCCCAAGGAGCGCTGAGTCACGGCCAAAGCTAAGGACTGAGAATGCCTTCTAGAAAGTGAACCTCGCTTGGCCAGCATGGCTCAGGGATTGAGTGTCGACCTATGAACCAGGAGGTCGCGGGTCCATTCCTGGTCAGGGCACTCGCTCATAGGGGGCGTGCAGGAAGCAGCTGATCAATGATTCTCATCATTGATGTTTCTCTCTCTCTCTCTCTCCCTCCCTCTCTGAAATCAATAAAAATAGATTTCAAAGAAAAGAGTGTAAATCTCACTGCCCTGCTGCCTTCCAATGGGGCTTCTCTATTCTCAGCTGTCAGAGGGAAAGAGGCGGGGGCCAGGGAAGGGACAGAAAAAGGCAGGTGCAGTGGTGCGGTGCATCCAGCAGGGGGCGCAACAAAAGCCCTTTGCCTCTATACACCAGGCAGCGTTCAGTGGAGCTCCCGCCACCCCAGGCAGAACCAACGGGTGAGAAATCCATGGAGACTTGGTGGTCTCCAGAAAGATGCCTGGCAGGTGCTGTTTGGCTCGCTACAGGGCAGTGCCAGGAATGCGCCTCAAATGCATTCTGTCCCCCTCCCCCAGGATACCTGGGTCATGGAGGGTCTCCTCTTAGCCCGGCGGTGCAGGCAGCAGCAGGCCAGCTGGCCCAGGGCCAGGCCTAGTTCGGGCGGGCAGGGCCCAGGCCTGGGGTCCAGGTGCTTCTTGCAGATCTGAGAGGCGATTGGGGCAGCCCAGGCATCTGAGGCCAGACCTGCTTGGAGTGTGGTCTGGGTGCTTGTCAGGGGCACCCCGGCATCCTCAGCTTCCTCTTTAACCAGGTCTTTCTGTGGGACAGACACTGTGAGCATGGCCACTAGGGAGGCAGTGCCTTTGGCTGAATTCCCCAGGCCCGCAGTCACTGACTCCTGTGATCTCACTGTGGTTGGTGATAAAGCACCCACTATGTGCCCAGCACTGCCCCAGGCCCCTAGGGATACAGCGACAAACAGAACAGCCTGGGCCGCTTTCACAGAGTGGACTTCCTAGAAGGGAGAGACGCCAACGAGAAGCCCAGAAAAGCAATGGAGGCCCATGAGCAATTGGCACCTGAGCTGGGATCCGAAAGCATAAGTTAACCAGAGAGGGCGGAACCGAGAAGGGGGACGTATCACGGAGAGACACCCTGGGACTGGAGGCCACTTTTGAGTTCTGAGAGAGGAAGGACCAGGAGGAAGCACCTGAGTGGGGGGTGGCTTTTGAGGCCCTAGGATAGGCAGCAGGGAGACTGGAGGACAGAGAGAAGGCTGGAGGCGGTGGGACTTCATTCCCAGTACAACGGGAAAGCACAGGGGCTTCCCTGTTATTTTTACATTTCCCACCTTTCTATTGATTTTAGAGCAGGGGTGGGGACCCTTTTGTCTGCCAAGGGCCATTTGGATATTTATCACATCATTCTCAGGCCATGCAAAATCATCAGGTTAATCATTAGCCTGCTGTATTTGGTCAAACATTTAATTAACTCACCCCTAATGCCTTGGCAGGGCCGGACCAAATGATTTCAAGGGCCTTATAAGGCCTGTGGGCTGGACATTCCCCACCCCTGTTTTAGAGAGAGAAGAAAAGAGGGAGGGAGAAATAGAGGGAAGGGAGCAGGGGAGGGAGAGAGGGAGGGAGAGAGACCCGTTGTTCCACTTATTAATGCATTCATCGGTTGACTCCTGTATGAACCCACAACCTTGGCACATCAGATGACACTCCAACCAGTGGAGCTACAGGGCCAGGGCTCTTTATGTTTTTAAACAATTAATTTGGCAGCACTATTTGGAGAACAAATAGAAGGGATCCAAAGAAAGACCCCCTGAGGAGTCGGGGCGGTGATGACAATAGAGAGCAGCCCAGTGGGATGTGCTGATGGGCGGGGAAAGGGAGGGATAAGAGGGCTCCTGTCTGGCTCCCTGGTTCCTGTCCCAGACCCGGCAATGGACAGAAACAGCCCCAAGCCAGGAGCAGAAGCAGCTGGAGGTACACCAGTTGGTAAAGGGCTGCTCGGCATTAAGTCTGTTTCCTCATCGGTCCACAAAGGGGTCCAGAAAGAGCAGGGATTTGCTGGGACGCCCCCTCCCTTCCCCCCCAGTCCGGGTGGGGTCTGGAAAAGCCCAGAACATCTACAGAAGAAAGACAGGTTTCTCTTCAGCAAGGTAAAAGGAAGCTGCCTGTGCCCTGCCTACTTTCAAAGGTGAGTCAGCAGCAGCAAAGGTTGGCTTCTGTGGTTGCATTCCAGAACATTCCACCCCTCCAGGGCTGCACCTGTTGGTTGTCAGGAGCAGCGCCTCTCTGCCCTCCCTTCCCTGTCTGCCCCTCATGCTTCCTGTCTGGCTCCCTTCCTGCCCTGCCTCAGGAAGCTCACCAGGTACTTGGTCTTGGCACCACACATCCTCACAGCCCTCTGGCCAGTCAGGGTTTCCAGAACTACCTGGAAAGAGAGCAGGATGAAGGGCACAGCAGTGGCTTCTGGGATGGTGCCGCCCCACGCCTTGGTGGGGAGGGCTGCAAGCAGAGGTAGCTTGTGGGGTAGACATACGGGCCTAGCCCTTGGATGAGCCAATCAGGATCAGCACACCACAGGGACATAGCTAGAAGTCATGGGACTGAAGCTTTGACAGCATGGAGCACCAACTTGAAGAAAAAGAATGCACAATGACAGCTTGGCAGGAGTGGCTCAGTGGTTGAGTGTGGACCTGAGCCTGGAGTCACCAGTTCAATTCCCGGTCAGGGCACATGCCCAAGTTTTGGGCCCAGTTCCCAGTAGGGGGCATGCAGGAGGCAGCTGATCAGATTTTCATCACGAATGCTTCTCTCTCTCTCTCTCTCTCTCTCTCTCTCTCTCTCTCTCTCTCTCTCTCTCTCTCTCTCTCTCTCCTTCTCCCTCTCCCTTCTCTGAAATCAATAAAATATATATTTTATTTTATTTTTTATTTTTTATTTTTTTAATATATTTTATTGATTTTGTACAGAGAGGAAGGGAGAGAGATAGTCAGAAACATCGATGAGAGAGAGTCATCGATCAGCTGCCTCTTGCACACCCCCTACCGGGGATATGCCCGCAACCAGGGTACATGCCCTTGACTGGAATCGAACCCGGGACCTTTCAGTCTCCAAGCCGACACTCTATCCATTGAGCCAAACCGGTCCCGGCTAAAATATATATTTTAAAAAAGCAAAATGACAAATATGAAATGAGGTAACAGGGCCAAAGAAGGGGCCCATGCCAGGGAGGGAGGGGCCTGCAGCTGAAGCTCCCGTTAGCTTCCTGCAGGTTGGCCTTGTCTCCACATGGAATTCTCAACCCCACCCACCCACCCCGGCCCTGGCTGGCCTCAGCTGCCCCCCTCCGGCCAGCAGAGGGGGCCATGGCTCACCACGCCAAAGCTGAAGGTATCGGTGTCCACAGCCAGCCTCCCGGTCTTGATGTATTCCTCGGGGAGGTAGGCCAGGGTGCCGCGCACAGTCTGCGTCCGGGCCACGGTGCTGCTCTGACCGGGCTTGGCCGCTGCAAAACGGCTGAGACGGGCCAGGCCGAAGTCTCCCAGTTTAGGCATCAGTCTGTCATCCAGAAGGACATTGGAACTGAGGGAAGAAGAACAAGTTGTGAGCTTGGCCCTGGCCCCGGCTCGCTCTCCCCTCCCACACCTGCCTGGCCCTGATGCCATGGGACTGGAAGCTGCCAAACCGCACCGTGCCCACACAGAGTGGTTGGTACTGTCCGAACAATCCGCTACCTGGGGCTTGCAAGGACCCTTGCACAGTTCAGAACCCCTACACACCAGTGGGGCCTATCCCTGGCTTTTGCTTCCACATCTGTCCCATGCCAGGTACTCAGTGACCCTGGCCCCCAGCTGTGAGGTCCCAGGCCTCACCTTGTCCTCCACTCCTGCAGCTCTCAGGGGACCCCGGGGCCCGGCTGTGTCCCCTCCTTACCTCTTGACATCTCCATGGATGAGGCTGGGGCTGTCCTGATGTAAAAACTGAATAGCCCGGGCCGTGCCCAGAAGGATGTCCAGGCGCTGAGGCCAGGAGAGAGGGGAGCAGGCCTGGGTCTGGAGCAGCAGAGGGAGCAAAGGGGCACGGGGGAGGCTGAGGGCCACCGTTCCTGGACCCCAACCCTCCCTCCACCTGTCACTGTGGGATCTGGACAAACACGTCCCTCTCTAGGCCTCAGTTTCCCCCGCTGGAAAATGAGGAGCAAAATCTCCATGAGCTCCCTTACAAGAGAATTGAGTGAGCTATTCCACTGCTTTATAGAGCATGCTGGGAAAATGGCTAGAAACATGCTCTCTGTCAGCATGGAATTCGGCGGTTTTCACTTCCTAAAGTTCATTCATTTGTCCCAGGATGATCAAGGACGTCTCTCTCTCCACTTCCGCCAACACAGTGTGCAGTTCATCCCTGTGTCTTGTGGGCACCTCACTGGACAGGGGCCCAAATGTGGGTCCAGATAGTACAGCCTGCTGCCCACTGCCCGCTTTCCTCGAGAGCAGTGCTGACAACACCCTTCAGCTACTCTGTTTGCAAAGAGGCGTGGCTTAGAGGTTGAGCATCGACCTAGGAACCTGGAGGTCACATGCCCGGGTTTTGAGCTCAATCCCGTGGGGTGTGCCGGAGGCAGCCGGTCAATGATTCTCTCTCATCATTAACAGTGCTCTCTCCCCCTCTCCCTCTCTGAAATCAATAAAAATCTATTTTTTTAAAAAAAGAGGAGAAAGTTGAGTCAATAACTTCCTTCTTACAGAGGCACCAAGGCCCAGCTCCTGGGCAGACAGGAACAGTCAGGGAGAGGCCACAGAAAATGGTGACCCATCTTGGGCCAAAGACTGAGCCCAGGCCCTGCCTGCTGGTGGGACTCACTCACGGAGGCCGAGCACCCGGGCCTCCTGCCCACTCTGCCCAGGTGCTGCAGCTCTGGGGAAGCATGCCAGGCCAGGTGAGACTACCTGGAAATGGAGGCGGTCTTCCAGGGAGCCGTTGGGCAGGAAGCCGTAGACAAGGCAGTAGTAGCCACTCTGAGCACAGTAGCCAGCAAAGTCCACGATGTTTGGGTGACGAAACCTGCTTGGAAAAGCGGGGCCTGAGTGCTCTGGCCCCCAGCCTCCATCTCGCTGTAGCGGGGGTGAGCAGTCCCTACTGGTCCCTCAGCAAGGCTGGGCCGGGCAGGTTTTGGTGGCCGAGGGAGCTGTCCCGTGGTGTGTGGTCCTGGAAGGCTGCCCCAGCTCACCGTGACAGCTGCTCCACTTCGGTCAGGAAGCTCTGCTTCACAGTAGTCCACTCCAGGTCTGCCTCCTGCAGCCCCCAGGGGAAATGGGGGTGGGGATGGGGGAGGGAGCATGAATCTCTTACAGCCAAGGCTTGATGGCCACTCCCAGCGCCATCTGTCCTGGGCCCAGAACAACCAAGGGGCTGGGGACCCGGGCAGGGGAATCAGAGGGCTGTGTGGGAGGCAGGGGGAAGATGAGAGAGGCGAGGCTTTGCTGTGGGCCTTCCAGGGCCCTCGCCAGGATGCTACACCCACCTCCTTCAGCCTCTTCACAGCGTACACCGTTTTCCTCAGCACAGCCCGGTACACACATCCGAAGCCTCCCTCCCCGATCTTCAGCTCCTCTGAGAAGTTGTGGGTGCCCTGGGCAATCTCATGGAGGGGCCAGCAGAAGGGAGAGGGGTGGTTCCCTTGCAGGAAGGACACGGGGTTCTCTGGGCTCTGCTGTGGAAAGAGACCCCAATCAGGTCACGTCCTGTCTCCTCCCCTAAGCCCTCGCCACAAGCTCCCCCGCACCCCAGCTGCCTCCCAGCTGGACTGGCTGGGGCTCCCTCGTGTACCAAAGCCTGGGTTTCTTGTTCCTTGTCTGGAACCTTTCCGGGGGAACCACCTACCTTGGTAGAAGAAGGTTCTAGAGACGGTGGCAGTGGCTGGAGGATAGCAGGGCTTGGGACAGGGCTGCACGCAGGCCCAGAATGGGTCTGGAAGCCTGGAAAAGCTTCATAAAGACACCAGTGAGAGGCAGGTAGAGACCAGTGACAAGGTCTCGAGCCATGGCCATGGTCAAGGTGGCCTTTCCCTCAGGTCTTTCAAGCCCAACATCAGAGCCATCTTACCTGGGGAGAGTACGGTTGAAGCTGATGACCGCAACTTCGGGGGGCTGGGGACCTTGGCCTCAGGGGGTGCAGGGATGGGGCTGGTCCTCAGGGCCTTGGTGCTGGGGGTGGGGTGGGGGGCGGGAGGGTGCCCTGGGACATTAAGGAAGGAAAGGCTGGTTAGGCCTTGGCAGGGGGAGGAGCCCCGTGGGAGGCCTCCAGCTCCGGGGTCCCGGGTCTCAGGGCTGCGCGCTCACAGGCCGTGATGATGTCCCTCGCACGGAGCAGCTGCAAGTGCGTGAGGATGTGCACGAGGTCGGCCACGCGGGCATTTCGGTTGATCCAGGGCCACAGGACACTGGCAGTGCGCTGCTCGGAGCGCTCGCACAGCCGGAGTTCCGTCTGGTCACGCACGATCAGGGCGGCTGCGGGACAAGGGCCATCAGGCCTAGGCGCCGGGCCCGGCGCGCCCCCTGCCCCGCCCCTCCCTCCCCCTCCCCTCCCGGCCCGCCGCCACGTACCAAACTGACACCAGTCGCTGGGCTCCAGGGCGTCCATCACTTTGTAGAAGCGGCACATGACCCAGGGGGGCACCTCGTACAAGAAGTGTTGGGCGCCGGGGGCCGCGGGGTCCCCCGGGCCCGGGCCCCCAGCCATGGCCGCCGCTGCCGCCGCCGCCGCCACCGCCGCCAGGCCGGGGCCTCTTGGGGCCTCGGCCGGCCGGGTCCACGGACACTGACTCACTTCCCCTTTAAGCCAGCCTCGTGCGACGCCCGCCCGGGCGGAAGAGGCGGTGCCCGGGGCGCCACCATCTTACCCGCTGCGGCCGCCGCCGCCGATACCGCCCTCGGCCACACGGGGGCGCCGCGCGCGGCCCCTTCCCGGGGAGGCAGCGCCACTGTGCGGGCTCAGGCGGGCAGGATGGGCTTCCAGGAGGGGGGGGGGCATGGAGGGGGGGATGGAGAGCGGTTCCCAGCACGGAGGAGGAGGACGACGGAGGCTGTGGCAAAGGCATGGGGCATTCCAGAAAGGGCTGGAGTCGGGCCTTGTTGACGGTCCCAGGGAGGACCCATTAGATGTTTTGGCTTTATTTGGGAGGCATCGAGAGTCCGCAGAGATGCCGGCAGAACCGGGTCAGATGGGGGTTACATATACAAAGGCCCCCTGGCTGTGTCCTGTCAGCTGGCCGATTGGCTGGGTGCAGGGAGAACGTTCTGGAAATTTGTGCAGCTGCCCGCCCCAACTCGGAGTATTTTCGCCCACCTCCTGTGCCCTGGATCCCATCTTTCCCACTCCTTCGGGAACCTGCACCAGCATGTGCTGCCTCTTAATATCTTCCCCTTTTCCTTCTTTGCTGGCTCCTTCCTGCTCCATGAACCGTGTCTCTCTCTTTTAAAAGGGATTTTAGCTCCTGCTGTCCCTCTGCCCTCTTGTTCTCACGTTTCTGGCTCGGTTTGCACTCACTCCTGTGAGGATGGCTTCTCCCACCCTCTTTTCTGAAGCAGCGGACAGGCACCAGCCTGTTGACGTCTTGGCCACATGGGTCTCTCTTGCCCATTGCCACAATGCTCTGCAGCCTCCAACCCTCCACCCCGCATCCTCAGCCACTGTTTCTCTGAACATCTCGAGTCCATCTCCCCCTGACCTGCCCCCTGCCCTCATTACCACCTCTGACCCGGACAAGTGTGCTGACTTCCTGGCTTCCCTGCCTGTCTCTACCCTGGTGTTCTTCCCGGGCACAAATCTTTCCTGCCGAAGACCTTTCTGTGCTTTCTGAAGCGTTTTGATGGGTCCTAGCTCTTCGGTGCAACCTCCACCGCTGTCACGATGTGGCCCCTGCCTTCCCACCTCACGTCTAGCTTTCTGCACATGTCAGCAGCCTTAAGCCATCCAGAACTCCTTGGGGTTTCTACAATGGGCCAGGGCTTCTGCAGACTTTGCCCTCCTGTGCCAAGGTTGAGCTCAAGCAGCCCTCGCTGTGCCTGGCATCTAGGGTGCATCCTCTTGAGCCTCCCCCACAAGCAGCACCTTTTGCTTCTCCAGATAGATGAGTGCTTGCAAGGCAATAGGTCTCCTTCACTCACTATCCCCCTTGTCCTCTTGAGCCTGAACCCAGGGAACTTTCGCCTTCCCAGGCTGTCCTCCCAGGGACTTAGGGCTGTTTCCAGAAACCAGGTCCAGTATGCAGCTCAGCGGTTGAGTGTTATAGCCAGGAACCAAGAGGTCACTGGTTTGATTCCCAGTCAGGGCACATGCCTCCGTTGTGGGCTTGATCCCCTGTGGGGAGCATGCAGGAGGCAGCCGATCAATGATATTCCTCTCTCATCAATGTTTCTATCCCTCTCCTTTCCTCTCTAAAAAAAAAAAAATCAATAAAAATATATTACAAAAACAAAAACAACAAAAAACAGAAATGAGGTCCACCCAAATATGGGCCTCCACTGGAACCCTTTTCCAGAAGCCACAACCACTCCCCAAAAGGCGGCCAGCCACACCCCGAGTATGGGAAATTATCACGCACACACACACCAAGCTCTCGATCCACCAAGAACAGGCACTCGATCCTACTTGCTCACTGCTGGACTGCAGCACCCCAGACACACCTGGCACACAAGAGACACTCAGTACACACATGCTGAATTTCAACCCTTTGTTTTAACCTTCAAGTCCAGGACTTTCAAATGCACCTTCTGATGGATATGTCCACAGTTGCGTGTGAAGCTGGACACTGGGCAGCAGTTGTCCCCTCCAGCCCTGCAACTTCCTAGTGAGGATGTCTGTGAAGGGGAGGTAACTCCTGAGAGCCTTATGCAAAAGCCAAGTAGCACAGGCAGGGTATGATACCTACAAATGTGATGACAGCGCCCCCTTTGGGCAGGGAGACAGTTCAGCAGAGGCCATGGGAGGGTCTCAGGTGATAGTGTTATGCTAGATAATAAAAGGCTAATTTGCAAATTATCCCCTCAGGAGTTCAACCCACCAGGGGTCTGACTGCTTGCTATGTGTGTGCTGACCACCAGGAGGCGGCATGGAACAAAGGAAGGCCCTGGCCAGCAGCCATAAGGCTCCAATCAGCCCTGATTGTAGGCCAGGCTTAGGGACCCTACCAGTGCATGAATTTCATGCACCGGGCCTCTAGTATAGAATGATTAAGAAGCTGGGAAAATTCCAGGACAAGTGAAATAGAGAAACTAAGACAGATGGTTCAACAACAGTTTGCAGCCAATTAGTAAACCCTATCTTCCCTAAACCAAAGATACTTAAGAGTAAATGGTTTGGCCTGGCTGGTGTGGCTCAGCTATTGAGCATTGACCTATGAACCAGGAGGTCAGGGCTTGATCCCCAGTGGGGGACATGTGGGAGGCAGCCAATCAATTATTCTCTCTCATCATTGGTGTTTCTCTCTCTCTCTCCCTCTCCCTTCGTCTTGCTAAAATCAATTATAAAAACATTTTTTTAAAAAAGAGTAAATGGCCCTAGCCAGTTTGGCTCAGTGGACAGAGCGACAACTTGCAGTTCTGAGTTCAATTCCAGTCAAGAGCATGCACCAAGGTTGCAGGCCCCCTGGTTGGGCATATGCAGAAGGCAACCACTGGATGTGTCTCTCACATTGATGTTTCTCTCTCTCTGTCTCTCCACCCTTTCATTCTTCCTAAAAATCAATGGCAAAATATCCTTGGGTAAGGATTAACAAGGAAGACAAAAGAGCAGTCTGCACTTCTCCTCCCCAATCAGAGGGCATATAGCTTAAATCACTCTACTCAGGGAGAAGATAGAAATCCAATTACTGCCATTCGCCAACCACACCCAGGGATAGAAAAGAGAATAAATCTCATTCTGGTACATCAGCATAAATTTGATGAATATTCTATTGATCTGCCCTCAAGACCTCCCTTAAACACCCAACCTTTTTTAAAACCCCTGAAAATTAAGGTCCCAGAGCCCTCCCCCAAGGAAGCAAGCCTATGCTATCCTCTTCCTCCTCAGGCATGTATCCACTAAAGTCTAGGGGACTCCATGATATTTTTGCTACCGTTACATCCTTGTTTGCTTTTCTACACTGTCTCTTGATTGAAATCTTTCCCCCTAGAAGACAAGAACAGCCTAGCCGGTGTGGCTGAGCATCAACCCATGAACCAAGAAGTCACAGTGTGGCCAAAACCGGTTTGGCTCAGTGGATAGAGCGTTGGCCTGCAGACTGAAGGGTCCGGGGTTCAATTCTGGTCAGGGGCATGTGCCTTGGTTGCAGGCACATCCCCGGTAGGGGGTGTGCAGGAGGCGGATGATCGATGATTCTCTCTCATTGATGTTTCTGGCTCTCTATCCCTCTCTCTTCCTCTCTGTAAAAAAATCAATAAAATATATTAAAAAAGGAAAAGAAGGAAAAAAAAGAAGTCAGTTTGTTCCTGGTCAGGGCATATGCCTGGTTGTGGGCTTGATCCCCAGTGTGGGGCATGCAGGAAGCAGCCAATCAATGATTATCTCTCATCACTGCTGTTTAGGTCTCTCTCTCCCTCCCCTTTCCTCTCTGAAATCAATACAAATATATACGGGGGGAGGGGGAAAGGCAGAACTGAGGTCTTGTCATCTTCCTGATAAGCAAAGAAGGAGCCTGAACTGGGGGAGGGTAGAAGGTGGGGGGTTGTATTTGCCAAAACACCTGGCACACCCAGACCGAAGAGGTGCCCCTATCATGTGCTACTATGCAGAAGGCCCGCAGCCCACCTGCCTCCGGGCCTAGGGCACAGCGGGCAGATTTGCACGCAGGCGCAGTGTGCCTGGACAGTGTGGCCTCTGGGCACCCAGGGGCGGCAGTGTATGGACCTGCAGTCCCGAAGGCGGTGGCTCTCCTGTATGCAGGGACAGCGGACCGGATCAGGAGACACACCACCATGCTGTCCTGTGAGCTGTCAGATAATGAAAGCCCAGACCTTGAGTCACTTTCACAGAGAGATTTATCGAGAATGCTAACAGCAAAGGATACAGTACTTCCCAACAAAAGGTGCAAACGCGTCACTTAGAAAGGCATGCTGAGTAGTCTTTGCTTTCACACGTATTAAAAAACTTACAAAAATAAAATAAAACTGCGTGCTGCCCATCTTTTCAAATAGTAAAAGAACCTTATGAAAAAATCACTTGGTTTTACAACAAAAGACACAAACGGACATTTTTATGTAAATTTATAAGGCAAACTCTTTATATAATAAATAGGTTACAGGGATTCAGTGGGGGGGGGTGTTTTGAAACGTATACAGGTACATTCAGACAGGTTTACTGAAATGGTACAAATTTCCTTAATAAATTGCCTTTTGTTTTAAATATATCAGTGCTTTCAGTCATTTGGCTATACACAAAGAACCTTTTTTTGAACACTACAAAAAAGCAATCAATATTTTTTTTTGTTTTAAAACGACCTACTTATTTCCTAAAGTAATTGTCCCAAAACACAAAAACTGAAGGTGAATGCAATAGAGGGCTTTCAGAGACATCTCCAGCCAAGCCTGTCCCGGGCAGCTCCCCGTGCCCCTTGCCTACCTCTCCTGCCCTCAGCGGGGCACCCTCTGCACAGGGTGGCTGGCATGTGTCACTGCAACTCGGGAGGGGGCAGCCACCCTGCTTGGTTCCTCCTGCTGCTAAACCCCGTGTGTAGTGGTCACTACAATGGGCACTGCCATCGCCTTGCAGATGAAGGTCTGCCAGGTGCTAAGGGAGCACACGTCTGTCCCTGTTCTGTGAACCCCAAATAATATCTGGTGGGGGTAACGGCTTCTCCGAGGAGGCTCTGGTTTTGCCATGGAAAGGGAAGGGGGTTTCTCACATCCAATTTTTTTTTTTTCTGGGAATCTTATGACAGCAGAGAGAGTGCACCCTCCCATCCCACCATTGCTATCACCTGGGGTGGCTGGGGATTGAGAGGTCACGTTCGTGTGGTGCACTCCAGGGAAGGGGTGGGATCTGATGGAGGTGTCCTAAACGATAATGCCCACTGCCTGGCCTGTCTAGAAAGAGCTGCGTCAGGTGAAGAGTGGCCAGTCTGCCCTGTCACCATGTGCCTGACCGGCGGCCACAGTGGAGGGAGATCTCCAGGGAAATGCCCACCTTTTGTCTGAGCCACTCGGTTCAGGCCCGCTTCGGGTTGGCCCTGCTCACACCCCACCTGGCTCCCCTCCCAGGAACGTAAGCCTTGACTGTCCTTAAAAATATCAATGATGCTAATAATCTCGGGGAGGGGAGGGGAAGGCAAAAATGTCCACTGGGTGGAACAAGGTCTGGTTTTGCTCTGACTTGGAAAATGGCAACAAATCGGCTATTCGGTCTGTTGGCTTAAGATTGATTTTCTCGGGTGGCTTCTGGCTGATCTGAGCAAGGGGTCGCCCCTGTGGGTCTCCCCTCCTGGGGAAATAGAGGACAGCCCCTCTCGTCTCAGCCACCATCCCCTCCCTCTGAATGCTTTTGTTTGTAAAGAAAAGGTGTCTAGAAGCATTTGTCTCTGGAACAATTACTTTAAACATGGTTACAATACAAACTTCAGTTCAAACACAGAAGAGATTTACTTAGCAAAGTTCCTTTCACCCACCAATTACACAAATATAAGCCTCAACACCACAGTTAAGAGGACCAGTAGAGAGAACCTCATGTTTGGAACACAAAAGGGGAAATAAAAACCAAACCAAACCCAAACAGAAAACCCCCAGAAAAAACGAGGGGAGGGTGAGGAGAGCTAACACAGCACACATTACAGTGTCCGGGTACACAGGAGCCCAGCGCAATAAAAGGGCTCGGCACACACTGAGTAACAGTCCTGGTGATATTTGGTCATATATTCATCAACTACTGACTCTGGAGCGGCTGTTATTGATTGAAGCAGTGACAAATCAAACGGAAAAGGAGGCCTTGGTAGCAAAGGAAGGAGCAGGCTTCAAGTTCTGCAAGCCTTGTGCACTCCACTGTCCAGCTCCCCAGAAACACGGAACCGGGCGCGCCCCGCTCCAGCCCGGCGGGGCGAGGTCACTGGGTGAGGCTAACTCGGGTGCTGATTTCACATTTCAGTCGGAAAGCATGCACGTGGACACATGCGCACACCCACCTGTTAGTGGCCAAGCATCGGTGGCAACGGCCTCCTCACCTCCTCGGCCCCTTTCCAGGCTGGGTGGGCAAGGACGTCATGACCCACCGCTAATACTGAACGTGGGCTGGAGTGGGCCCAGACCAGGTCCTCCGTGGGGCCTGAGGGTAGCCCAGCCCCACAAAGAGCCTATGAGCGTTTCTCTCTTGGATTCAGGCCTCAGAAGAAGTATTGACGAAGGAAGGGAAGCTTTTGGCCCTGGTGATTATAATGCTCTCTGCTTTGGAAGAACAAGTTTCTGGATTTTTTTTTTTTTTTGGTGTTTTTAATTACGTAAAAAAAAAAAAAATGATCCAAAAGAATTGTTACAGCTAAACTCTAGCAGATATTGCTCATTAAGAATTACAAAAGCAAATGCAGTTACTCGCGGGATGTGGGAAGAGAGAAAGGGATGTTTCTGGAGTCTTCGCTACCTCCTAGAGGAGAATGGACTCTCTATGTGGTTCTGGGTCCCTGGCGTTCTACCTGGTGCAGCTCACACGTTCAAGGGCACGGCAGACCTCCCGTTTTCCCTCCAGCCCCTGGACTCAGCAAAGTGGGAGCCCTACTGCTGGGGAGGCCTGCTGAGCTGACTCTCCACACGTGATCACTCTGACCAGCCACTGGACGGGGTGGGAGAATCAGGCCACCCCCATGGACTCCAGCTGCCCCACTCAGAGGTGGAAGAGGACCAGGCGGTGCCAACTACAGTCTGGACTTTGCCAGGGCAAGGGAGCGCTCTCGCACCCACCCACTGAGGTGAACTGCCCTGCACCAGTGTCCTGGGACCTCTCTCACAAGCACTGGAGAAACAGTGCAAAACCCGGGCACTGCCTGCAGCCTCCTTAGCTTGGCACAGGGAAGCCCTTGAAAGAAGCGAGGAAAGACCACAGATCTGCTTGGACAGAAGAAGTGACCAGCAGACAGATTTGTCAGTTGTTGTTTTTTTTGTTGTTTTTTTGTTTGTTTTTATTTTCCCTTGTCCTATGCTACGGTTATCAGAAATATTGTAATTAAGCAACAGGTATTATTTTAACAGGTGTGTGTTTGTGTGTGTGTGTGTGTGTGTGTGTGTGTGTGTGTAGCCACAAGCAAAATGAGTTTATAATTGTGCAATATACAGATATATATATATAAAAATTCAACTTGCTTTGTGTGTCTAATCGGTGCATTAAATAAAAGGGACAGAAAAGCTAAAAGCAGAAAAAGCAAAAAACAAAAGCCCAGAACAGAGAGGACCAAGCAGGCCTATGCTTATAGTCTATAAGATACTGGATATAATCAGGGTCACCAGGAAAAACAGCTTTGTCACTTGACACACAAACACTGCAGGGAGAGGGACTACCAGTGATAGAAGCCAAACCCCTTGGCCTTTTCATCTTTATTCTCTCTCACTGCTGAGCAGGACCTGAGGAGAGGTAAGATAGAAGGGGAAGCTAGAGGAGCAGAGACCATTTGCAAGTTTCCCAGATGCTCTGAAAGCCAAAAGGCCAGCCTTCCCCTGTGAGGATCTCAGCTCTGCTAGGGGTGCGGACACCTATCCTCACTCACAGCCTCCCCTTCACCCCAGGGGCTCTCGAGGGTGAGGGGCGAGTGGGGCACACACCGCAGTGAATGCTCAGGCCTCCGTCCTCCCCTCTGAGTTCAGAAGGGATGGCACTTCATCAGGCCCTAGACCCCAAGGAGAGCAGAGCAGGGAATGTCGTCAGGGCACAGGCTGTGCCACAGACAGATGCCAAGGAGGAGACATCACCCTTTCCTTTCTAGTTACCTGGGCCTTAGTTAGAGCTCATTTTTTTCCTTGACAAATCAGAGCTCCGGGTAGGCTCTGTGGACAGGAGAATGAAGCAAGAAACAGGTGGTGCTGGGAAGGAGACTGATGTAGGCCTTCACGAGTCCCTGTGACCACTCTGCTTCCCACACCAAGAGCTGGGCTCCTGCAGCTTTGGGCCCAGACGGGCCACTGACCTCCAGGCCGCCCCAGAGGACAGAGCTGAAGCCAAGACCTCAGGGATGCTACCCAAGGAGAGACAGGTTCTCCAATGACAGAATGGCCCTGAGTCTCAGATCCAGTGGCTTGGGGCTGGAATCCCCTTTGCCTGCAGAGCTCACCACACATCAGGCCAAGCTCCAAGTAGTTTTAGATCACAATTTTCACAAAAGCTTGCTCTTATTTGTTCAGAGACATCAACATGTATTTTTTGACCTATATTCTCTAGGTTTTCCTTCTGAATTGTTGAGAGTGGGTTTCAGTGTTCACTGTCCCCTCCCCCCCCCCCTAAAATATGTAACTTCAGACCCTGGAGAGGCAGTATCCTAGCTATTTATAACAATTAGGCCTTTTCTAAAGATTGATCTAAAAGAGAAAGACACAAAAATGGAGACACACCAAACCCCTCCAGAGCGGACGGGCTCACTGACCAAGAGCAAAGATGGACCCTTGCCGAAAGCAGAGCAAGAGCAGGAATCCAACACAGCAGGCGCATGGCCACAGGCCTGGTAATGCTGTGCCTGCCCACGCCACCAGCAGCTGGCACTTGGGGGACTGGCTAGGCAAACACCCATTCGGCTCTCGACACAGCTTGCTTCCTGAGGTCTGGGCTGCTGGTCCTAGACTTTGTGCATGAAACTCGCATCAGGAAGCAATTCGAGGCGATGACACCAGCTAGGAATGGATGCACAAGGGTCTCCAAGAACCAGTGCCTGTGACCTCCCCTCATCGCATCTGTCCAGAGAGCCAGTGGGAATGCGCCCCAAGATCCAGGCAGGCCCCTGGTGGGGTTAGTTCATAACTTTTGCTCCCTCCTGGGCTCGATCTGCTTATTAAGAGTTACTTAAAATCCAGAGGGCCTGTCAGCTAAGAAACTCCTTTCCCACCAAACATGAAAGCTTGTTTCTGGCTAGTACCCTTTCATGATGGCTGTCACGACAATGACAAACCAGACAGAGGAGCAGGCAACAACTTGGGGCTGTTGCAGGTCTCGCTGCTACTGTTTTTGGCTCTAGTCTGAAATGATGCCACCACTGAAGAGACTGTTGCCCACGCTTGCATGGAGTCTCAGTAGAAGCCAGGTGCTGGCTGTGGCCAGCGTCCCCAGGCTACCACCATGACGTTCACCTTCCAGGGAGCTGAGGGGCTGGGGTCCTTGGCTACTTTGGCACTGATGGACTGGGGACATGGCATTTGTAGGTGTCTTCTATGCCAACAGAAGGGCACTGCCCTAGAGCCTGGTTGTGGCCCAGTTCCCCAGTTCACTGAAGTGTCAAAGCCAGCAATTCCACTGATAAGGACAAGCTCACCAATGGGCAGACAGGTAGGGCAGGGCTGGGCTGGGCATTGTGGAAGGAGCTTGAGGACACAGAATTCTGTCAAGAAAGGAGGTAGTAACTAACAGCTAGAATGACGGTTGGGGAGACGGAACACGACTCTCTGTGACCTAGACCCATGAGGATCTGAAAGTTGTCAGTCAATTCCTATATTCTTACCAGTCCCTAAAAGATGCCCCCCTCAACCCCAATCTCCGTGGTGTTCAAGTTCACACAAAATCAAGGTCACACCCTGAACTGGGCTTAGGCTTTCCCTCCAAACTTCCATCCACCTGACTCTAGGAACAGGGGTGGCACGGAGCTCTAGGGCCTCTGCCTGCTGGGGTGCAAACCACCAAAGTGGCCTGTTTAAAGGTCACTCACTCATGATGCCCTTATTTGGGGAAGAAGAGGGAATATGGAAGAAAGAGGGGAGAGAAAACCATAAGGAGCCTCAGGCACTGCCTGCAGCTCTGGAACTCTAGGGGAAGGAGCTGGGAGTGAGGGGGCTGCAGGTCCGGCCGGACACAAAGAAAATGACCCTTGAAATGCTGTGTTCTTGACCATAAATGCCCAGTCAGCCCCTGGATAACTGTCATGGGTGAAAAGGGGGGCCTGGTGAGCCCCACACTTCTCTTGCCAGGACCAGATGAATGAGCTGATGAGGTGGCCAGCCAGCTCCTGACATTAGTCCCAGGAGCCACATTTCACTGGACTACGTATATAACACATAAAAAACCGACCAACCAGAATGGATAGCGTCTCCATGACAAACTGGCTTAATGCCGCGCTCGCACGGATAGGCGTCTTTTGGGGATGCCAGGAGTGCAAGGCCACTGTGGGGTCAGGAGCCTTTTGTCCTTGGAGGAAAAGGGGTCCCGAAGGACTCGCTCTCTCCTCCGACCCCCCCTTCCCTCCTGGGGAGGAGTCAGAAGTGAAGCCCGGATAATCGACAGCAGAGTGGGGTTGCTTGTGGGACTTGCTTCTGCAGCATAAGGAAATGGATACAAAAATGCTAGGAAGGTCAACTATGAGTCTACGAACAGAATGGGCAAACTTCCTTGCTTCTAACCATTCCGGAAGAGACAGACATGGTTTTTTCTTAAGCTACTGATCGGAACTGTCATCTATGGTTCCTGATCACTAAGGACTGGCAAGGAAGTGCTAGACAGTTTCTAGGATGTTTTACTCCTTCATGGTTACACCAAAGTAAGGAAGCCAGGGGACAGTAACTGAAATACACAAGACAACACGCACTTGACAGTTCATGGCAGCAGCTCACATGGGACGTGCTTGTGGGTTATTTCTGGAAGCATAAGACTGCTGTCTCATTTGCTACTTTGATAAGGTACTTCTCAGTTGGACAGATTTAGATATAAGAGACATCTCTGTAAACACAGAAAAGGATATACCAATATGATGAAGATATGCAGCTAGATAAGGACTTCCTGAACAGAGAGGTGGAAAGGATGGGATCCCACAGCAAACCCAAGCCTCTAAGCCCCTACACCATAACCCTGGTGCACACGTGAAAATGTGTGCTACACTGGCCCTGCCCAGTCTCCAGCAAGCGAAAGCCAAATGTTTTCCATTTGAAAAGAACTTGTGGTTAACAGAGGAGCCTGGGTGGGCAGAGGGGGGGCACCCTAGCCATGGTCCCAGCCTAGGTCTGGGGGCATCTGCATTTATTCTGTCTGCTGCCCTGCCACACTGCACTGTGCTAGCCAGGCCTGGGAGAGGCCAAGGTCATGGCTGGGCCTGTCGATGACGATGGCAGACCACGGGGGCCTTTGTTCTGCCCTCAGCTCCAAAATCCAAATCTGGTCTCATTCCTCCCACCCACTTCTCTCAAGTGGAAGGTTGAGGAGGTTCAGTATCTGGATTCTGACTTAGGAGAGCAAGACCTTGCTGTTCTCTTGCCCTTCAGAGAGGCTGAGGTGCTAGGGTCAGGCCGGCTCAGTGGAGCCCGGGGCTTCCTCAGGGCTCAGGATAGAGTGAGGCTGGGCTGGGGTTGGTGGCGGTGAGTTCTGGGGGGCGTGAACTAACCAGAATCAGTTCGGGATACAGCTGGGCACTGGGGCTGCTTGGAACGGAAGGGATGAATGAGGAGGAAGGAGGGGAAGAAATGAAAGGATCAAACGACGGAAGGCAGAAATGGGAGAGAAGAGAAAGCAGTCAGGAAGTCCTTATAAAATTGCAGCAAACACTTAGAGTTTCGGAGCTTCGTGGGAACCCTATGTGCTGAGCCCACTTTAAAACAAGCGCAGGTATCTACAGATCCAGGCAGTTCTAAACACCATCATCGCGTCTGGTGGCTTGAGGGACAAAGTGCCACCAATTCAAGCCAGTTTGCTCTCAGAGCATGTTTGTTTTGAAGTGGGAACATGAAGACTCAATAGTGCAAATAGTTCTAAGCTGTCCCTAAGGAGTAGAATTGGAAAGTTTTGGAAGAACATTCTCCCCTCCTTCCCCGGGGCCCCCACCCCACTGAGCTGCTAACTGCCAGTCACAGACTGCTCTGAGCAACGGAGTCTCCGCTGTGCTCTGCTGGCCCGCAGCTGGGCCAACCTGCCTACACCTCATCCTGCTGCCTCCAGAGCCTCTCTCTGGTGCCATCCACTGGAGGCCGGGCCTGAGCCAGCCTCTCCTCTGGCTCAGGCAAGTCTACACCTAGCAGCTCAAGGGTGACTCCCTCTGAGCCATGCCAGACTGGAGCGAACAGGTGCTACTTTCCTGTCCTTGAAATGTCCTTGTCAGTTTTGGATTGGGGCTGGAGCGGGGCCAGATTTGTGCCACCATGAGTGGGATCACACAGGCTGTAGCCACTGGCCATCTCCGTCTTCTTCTCTAAAGAATACAACTGTATCCCCTGCCTCACACCTCCTTGTCCCAACCTGGGTGAGAGTGGGGGAGGCGGGGAAGCTGGGGCAGGGTGGGGGGAGAGGAGAGCTGAGGCTGGGGCACCAATGGCACCAAAAACGGAGTGTCCTCTTAAGTGCTCTCTGTCCTTAGCGACCACGCGGGGGGAGGTCTGGGTGGGAGGGGAGGTGCAGGCATACCCTAAGAAGCCTGGTCAACAGCTTGTCTGGTCAGTAGTATCTGCAGCAAGCCTTGTTGAAGGAGCCTAGATTAGAAAAGTGCAAAGCTACTTCTGGCCCTGGTTAGGTCTTCAACCTGACTGTGCTTGTCGGTAAGAAAAACATCCCCAATGCTCCAACTACTCCCACCCTGAAGCCACGAAACTCTAAGTTTACTGAAAGAAAAAAAAATATTTTTTATTTCAGTTAATCGGGAAGCTTTGTCAGAGCCCTACCCATAAGGAGAAGAGACAACAGCTGCCTTTATTCTTGTTGGTTTGCTTTGCAATCCACTCTGTGTAAAGTCAGCTAACTCTCTCGGTCACGGGCGTCCGGCTGTCCACAGGCTCCTCTCTGTTTGGCCTTGGCATGGAGGATGAAACAATGTCTTTGCGCTCTCCCTCCCCTCGGTGTTTGTACTTTTCTGTGGCCGTGGCGGTGGTCGCGACCGTGGGCTGAGTCTTAGCTGGCTCCTTGGGGCAGCCGTCGCTCTCCAGCGAGCCTCCTCTCGGCATCTTCTCCTCTTTGCAGACACCGCTGCTCAAGTCCTGGGGCTCAGGGGGGCTGGCGGGGTCCTCGGAGCCCTGGGGCTCAGGAGGGGGCGGGGGCGGGGGCGGGAGCAGCGGTGTGGGTGCCTTCTGGGGCTCTGAGTGGTGGTGGTGGTGGTGGTGCTCCTTCTTGGGCGGCGAGGAGGCACTGCTGCTGCGCCCTTTGGGGCTGCTCTCCTTGCTTTTCCGCCCCGGGCTCTTGCAGGTCTTCAGTCCCTTCCCACTCTTCTCACCGAGGGTGGACACCAGCAGCGGCTTCACCACCTCCTTCACCTCAATGCTCACTGTCTCTCGGGTCTTGCGCTTCTTGATGGGGAGCACGGTCTCTTGCACAGACCGGATGGATGACTCCTTCACGGCTTTCTTCTTGGCCTCGGCGGCAGCAGCTGCCACCACACTGCCTGGCTTTCGACCCCGTTTCTTAGGAATGGCCTGCGGGTCGGCCTCGGCTTTTCGCTTCCTGCCAGGGCGTTTGATCACCATGACCTGGGCTGATGTGGTGGCCCCAGCCCCCTCGGCCTTGCTTCCTGGCGAAGTTTGAAAAGGCAACTTGACGAGCAGCTTCCCGGGACTTTTCTCCAGGACCCTTTTCACCTGCACGCCCTCTGATGCTGTTGCCTTGGGTCTCGCGCTGCCACTCCCTTTGGGGCGTCCCCGGCCTCTGCCAGTTCCTGGAGCTTTGGGAGATTTGGGCTTCTTAGGTGGTTTCTGCTCTCGCCGGGAGGGGCTCCCTCTCCCAGTTACCGTGAAGTCAAAATCATTAGGGTCCAGGGAGGTGTCGCCTACCTTTTCGAAGTACGCAATCAACTCCACTTTAGATCGAAAGGCTTTTCCCTGGGGACTGTGGGAACAAGTGGAGAGACACAAAAGGAGATTAGAAGCTTCTACAGCAATGCTGGAGATAGGGCAGAGCAGAAGGTAGTGGCGAACTTTAACAGAAGAGCTTCTGCAGCTGATGTACCTGACGATACCACTGAGCCAGTCACATTTAAGAAAAGCCAAGATGAGCTAACACTTGAGGGGCATGGCTGCGGTTATACATGAAGCAATCAGGTCGTCGGCTAGTGGTGGGCATCTAAATGGCCTGCTCCTATACCAGAATAGCTTGATGACCTGGGGACGCTGCCTAGCCATCAGGCCGATGCCCATTCTGCTGGCTGGTGCCTGGGCGTGACCTGCCAGTAGAGCACCCTGTCTGAATCTGGGCATGCTGTTTTAGCACTTCTGGGAATTGGTTTCCTCATATGACAATAAGATAATGCTTTGCTCACCCTTCTCAGACTTGCTGGGACCAAACAAGGTTGCCAATGTCCGTAAATGTCCTTTGAAAATTGTCTAAGGGGCTGACCTGACATGTACTTATTCACTTTTCTGTAGCTCAGGTTTGGAAGTTACTGTTTTAATAGAAAACACCCAGAAAAAAAAATAACAACACCCAAAACCTGGCCAGTGTGGCTCAGTTGGTTGGAGCATCATCCTATACACTGAAAGGTAGTGGGTTCAATTCCTGGACAGGGCGTGTGTGGGAGACAACTGATCAATGTTTCTCTCTCATATCAATGTCTCTCTCTTTCCCCCCATCTCTCCCTAAGATCAAAACAAACAAACAAAAACACCCAGTGACCCTCGCCCAAGGCTGGGCAAATGCAAAAGGGACAGTTGGAAAGGTACATGGGGCTTGTCTGTGTCTTTACCCGGAGGCCCTGTCTGAGAGCCCACCTTTCCCAGCACAGGTCACAGAGTGTACTGTGCTCTACGACTCATCTATTTTATTTTTTCTGGTTCATGAAGCAGTGTTACAGAACCACTCCCCCAGAAAGAAGATGAGGGTAATGGGTTCTGAGAGGAGCCTCGCAGCTGGATGCTCTCCAGCTGAGGAATGGCAGGAACCCGAGGGAACTCTGCTTGCCTCCTGAGCCCAGGCCACTACATATGGCAGATCCTGTGACCTCCGCACTTCCCAGGTGATCTCTCCTGGCATTCTTATTGTGACCCTGGGTAGGTTCTACTGCTATTCCATCTTCAAACAAGGCCTCAAGGGCTGGCAGGGTAAATCACATTGTTATACTCTGTGCATGTTTCACTCAGGGCAGTGGCTTCCATACACAGTCATTCCAAGCATACCTAGCAATACCTGCAAGCGGTGCTCATTACTGAAGCCATCTTACCCCAGGTGGGGTTATGCACACACATTTTTTCGATCAACTAGCAGCATCTAGCTCCTACTCCAAGGGACCCCCATTAGTTTTCAGCACCTGTCCCCAACTTCCCACCTACCCAGGGCTCCCAGCTCTGTAGAGGCAAGAGTTGCCCTTACTTACTTGATCAAATACACATCATACTTCCCAGCGGAGCGGCCAGATTTCCTTTGCTTAAGCTTCCGGGTCCAACCTTCAGGCAGAGTGGGGTCATCATACATGGGTCCCCGGTCACGGATGATGGAGCGCCGCTGTTTGGGGGAGGCAGAAGCTTCCGGGACGGCTGGGGCTGAGCCTGACCCTTCCGAGGTCTCCGCTTTGCCTGCCTCTGCTGGTTCAGCAGAGTGGTGGGCTGGCGGCTGCAGGGGCTCATGCTTGCTTTCTTCTTTCTTATCCTTCTTCAACTTTTTAAACTTCAGGGGTTTGTCCTTGAGGCCCTGGAGGTCCTGGTCTTCTGACTTTTCTTCCCTGAAGTGTTAAACAAGTATGTAAGTATCACAGAGGACACACCAGGTTGCAGAAAAAGTGAGCATTGGAAGGCTCGGGGCCGCCCAATGGCAGGGCTCCGGAAGCCGGGGCTGCCCTGCTGGCGCTCACCCAGGTCTGGATATTCTTCCCTTCACAGATTTCTTTAGGGGCTCTGGGCTGCTGCTGGCGGTGGCCAATTGCACTGTGATCACCCTTTGTCCCATTCCTGGCGTGCAGGAGAGTGAGCGGCCTGCACAGGTGGCATTTCTCTGAGTAGAAACACTATGTGGCTTTTCTGCACACTGCCTTGACCACTGGGATAGAGAGCTGGCAGCCCAGAAGGGGGTGGAGCTCCTTTTCACAAAGGCCAGGCTTGGGTGCTACTATAGCTTCTGTATTTGGGGTTTTCTCAAACGTGTACCCAACAAAGATCTGCTGTGGGGCACGGTACAACGTGCTGACAGGAGCACAGCCCTGCACTACTCCCTGGGGGGGGGGGGGGTGGCACACAACGCAGCACAGCAGAAAGAGCACAGAGGTTTGGAGCCAGCCAACCTGAGCTCAAATCCTGGCTTTGCCATTTCCAAACACAGGTACCAACACCCCAGAGGAAGAAAAGTCACAAAGGCACTGCATAAATCCTGGCTGACCTGGGGAACCAGAAACCGCTGCACAGGGTTCTGGTATAAGAAAAGTGATCCCCGGTCAGGTAAGCCTTGGTCACCAGACCCTCCCTTACCATGCAAGGCCATAGCACAGCCGTGCCGGTGAAAGGAAAGAGCAAGGAGAAGGGCACGGAGGAGCACCCTCACCGCCGTCCCAGGCTGGGCATTCCCCGTTTTCACACTGACAGCAGTGCCTTCCCTACGTTTCAGTTCCATCCGGTGGGGCCCCTTCCTTGTATGCATCAGAAATGCTTACTTGAGGCCCTGGACCCTGAGATCAGAGTCTGACCATGATGCTCTCATGGCCGGGCTGAGAGGACAAAAACATGAGGCCAGGGAAGGCTTAGGAAGAATTGTGGGCTCAGAATTAGCCATCGGCTAGTCCCTCAGCTGGCAGCTCATTATGGAAAAGGGCAAGGCTATTCCTAGCCTCTGCATATCAGCCCTAGAGCTGCCCTCTTATATAGCTCATGTGGCACTGATCACTGTCCCGTGGCTGGTCTATCCCAAGTGATGTCCCTTTTGGTCCACACTGTGGAGACTGTATTGTGCACTCGAAATGACTTGAATGACTTGGGTAAGTCATTGAAAGAAGGTTAGCACCAGGACTCACTGGGCGCCATGAAGACATGGCTTTCCTGAACAGCTCAGGTCAGGTGTGGGGACGGATCGTGGTGAGGGTGTGTCTCAGCCCCCCTCAGGCTTACTGAGCTCCTTGGAACTTCTTCAGAAGTTTGGGGCCCCAAGCATGGCTGCCAGTGTCACCCAGAGTCAGCCCTTGACTCACAGGAGACCCTTTCTTGCTGTAAAAGTGGGGTTCCTAACCTGTTCCGGCAGAGCTTACTTTTCAATGCTCCCAGTCTTAGGGAGAAGGAAACTCTGCCAGCAGCGAAGTGATGAATAGATCGGAACCACCGCTTCCAAACAGTTCACAGCGCACCGCTAAAGTCCAGGGCTGCTCCGGGAGTCAGAGAGAAACACTGCACCAATGGAACAGGTCTGGCTTCCTCAGAACTCTCATTTGTATTTCTACAATACTTTCACCACTATGAGGTCAAGTACAAGCGTGTCACCCAGAAATGCCTCTTAGTTGCAATCAAGGGTGTTGATGCAATCCAGGGCAATCCCTTCTAGAAATCTACCCCGAAGAGACACCTTTAGAAAGTCAACACAACAGAGGACGATGTTATTTACAGCAGCATTGTTTTTACTAGCCCAGGACTGTGGACAACTCAGACAGCCGTCACCAGAGACCTGCTGACTAGATGACAGCAGGCCCACACCAGGGAGAGTGCCCCAAACCACTGGGGAGTGATCCCTAGAATCTACTGTAAGGTAAAAAGACAGCGTACCGCAGGCTGCCTTTTGTGTGTGAGAGAAGGGGACTTTAGGAAGCACACAGCAGAAACTAATAGAATTGCCGAGGCCTCTATGGATATGCCGGAGCATAACTGCAATGTCTAATGCCCATGGAAGGAAACCAGGCTGGCCCCTAGGAGAATGAAAAGGACATAGGCATTGAGTAGAAGGGTTCCTTGTATTGGGCAATGCTGTGACCAGGTGTGTTCAAAAGAATGAACTGATTAGAACACAATGAAGAAAATAATCCATGTGATATTGGGGAGAAAAGAGAGAAAGTCCTAAATGAAGTGTAAGGGCTAGCCATGTGGCCATGTGGGGAAAAGGCTCCAGATAGTGGAGACATGGAGGGACATGGAGGGCTTTGTTGGATTTTATTCCAAGTGTGATGGGAAGCTTTGAGCAGGGGGCAGGGACTAGGGTGTTTGAAAGAATCACTCTAAACGGACTACTGGAGACCTAAGAGGGAAGCAGGGAGGAGCCCTGAGAAGCCTTCTGCAGTTGTCTTGGTGTGACCCAGAATGGGGACAGCAGAGGACTGGGGACAAGACCAGGAGGTGAAGCAACACTGCTGGCTGATGGACTGGTGAGGGATGAGTTAAGGACCTCGGCAAAGTCTGGAGGATGGAGTTCAAGAAGAGAACATACATCTTTGGTTACCAGATGCAAAGGTGGGATATCTAGCTGTGCCCAAACTCTGATTAAATGAACTATTTGTTTGTTTTTAAGTTTTTATTCTGATAAGATGTATATAATATAAAACTTATCTTTTTAAGAGTTCCTATGTGTACAATACGAACTTTTTAATTGTTAAATATTTCTTTAAAAATATATTTTTATTGATTTCAGAGAGGAAGGGATAGGGAGAGAGAAACATCAATGATGTGAGAGAATCACTGATTGGCTGGCATGGCTGAGCACTGTTAAATACTTTTCATTGATTTTTTTAGAGAGAGAGAGGAAGGGAGTGGGGAGAGAGAGGAACATCAATGTGAGAGGAGCATCAATATCAATCGGTTGCCTTCTGCACACTCCCTACCAGGGATGGAGCCGGCAACTTGAGCATGTGCCCTGATTGGGAACCAAACTGGCAACCTTTCAGTGCACGGGATGATGCCTAACCAACTGAGCGACACCAAATGAACTTTAATAGCACCAAAGATGATGGGGGAATAAAAGGACCTTTAACTCTATCTGCAGTATTCTAATTCTTTATGACAATATAGTGATTTTCAATTCTGTGCATCAAAGGGTACACAGGTATTTGGTACTTAAAAACAAATAATAAAAGCCCTAAAGCCTGGAAGCCATTATGCTGGGTGTATCGGTAAAAATGATGCAAAACAGGTAATCCAAATGAGTTTACCCCTGGCTCAGATGATGCTCGGTCCCAGCATAACCTTGAAGGAGACCTGGCAACTCCCTAAGCACCCCTCACACACACACACATCAGGACGTTGTGGGATTTTCTGAAGCATACACTTTTCAAAGAAACCAAACAGCTCTCTTCATCCTCCCTGTGATTACAGCATGTGTGTGTGTGTGTGTGTGTGCACACACGCACGCACATGCGCACGCACGTATATATGTACATGCACATACATAATCCTGACTATGAGGAGAACTAAGCACCTAGTTCACAAGTTCATGTATTTTTAGAAAAATCACCTATTCTATTCTTCGGTGTCACAAATGAGAGAGAGAAAAAAAAAAAGAAGTACAACCAGACAAGGAAGTTCAACTTGTATGAGGTCACAGTTGAGCCAATGTGTTTTCATTGAACCAGACTGCTAAGAGCTGAGATGCCAGAGCAGAATTAGCAACATTCTTTGGCCTTCTAGAGCTCCAAGTTGTGTGTGTGTGTGTGTGTGTGTGTGTGTATGAAACAGACAAAGTGGTAACAAAGAAATAGTGACATCCTCCTCTGTTCTAGGCAGAGGGGAAACCCAGAGATGGGGATTCCTGGAGGAGGAAGTTGGTTTTTAAGACTCATACGGAGTTTCACAGGCTGGTCAGGAGGACTCAAGGCAAGCCAGGTCAGACGAGCAGAGGCAGCAATATCAACAGTCCCTCCCTGTCCTATGCCCTTCCTGGGAGGGACCAGAGGTTCTGGGACGGCCCTCGCTCCCATCTTCAATTGGGTTATGATGGCACTCTGACAAACCTTTCCTGGTCTTCCCCCCCACCACCTCCCATGCATAGGAGCACCCTATGCCCCCCTGGCCCCCGCCCCAGTGTATTTAGAATATCCCCCAGTGATGGGCAACTCCCCCTAGATGTGTGCCTTCTTTACTGTCATCTCCCTGCTCAACACACAGTGAGTTTCAGCACAGCAACAGCACTTAATAGTCACTTGCCAAGTGGCAATCACAACTCAGATACTCTGGTATCTTTCCTTCTTTTTAAAAAATATATTTTTATTGTTTTCAGAGAGGGGGGGGAGGGAGAGAGAAACATCAATGATGAGAATCACTGATCAGCTGCCTCCTGCACCCCACACACTGAGGATTGAACCCGCAACGTGGGCATGTGCTCATGACTAGAATTAAACCCTTCTGTCCGCAGGCCGATGTTCTATCCATTGAACCAAACCCGCTAGGGCCCTTTCCTTTTTTTGATGGCTGTATCCCTGGGGCCATTAGCTTTGAGGAGCAGGGGCTAGCTTAGCATCCAAAGCAAGTAGGCTCTCAGTGACCAAATAATGAATTTGGGCACTACCAGCAGCCTGGTGGTCACTGGTGGTTCGGGGTTGGCAGGAGACGAGGCTGAGATAGTTACCGAGGGCCTTGGTGTCTCGCTCGCCTAAGAGCACAGTGATATCTACAGTGATGGGGAGGGAGGGCTCACGAGGGAAGCAGCATGGGAGATGGTTACCCTGGGAGGACGGGTTCTAGGCTTCTGCAGATTGGATTCCAGCAATGAGGTGGTCAGATCCACCGACACCCCACCTTCTACAATGACTTAAAAAGGCTGGAC